AGATTTCTCAGCTAAAAGAGAGTAACACTGAGCCTGGGGTGCATTTTATTTAGCTATTGTGGCTACTCGCTTTCATCACGCTTGTATCTTCATTATGTCTCAGTTTCACTCATGTGACAGAGAGATGCAAGGGGAGGAACTCTTTTTAACATGCATGCTGTCCTCCCTCACTGCAAAATCATTTTGAAGATATGGCAACTAGCCATCAAAAAATATAGAAACTGACAGTCAAATATGTCCAAAAAATGGGTCAATGTACAGAATCTGTGGAGCCTCAGGAGTAGAACGAAGTTGGTGAAGATGACTTTAAAACAGATTTCATTACCACTCCGTGATCTATGCCTGACTGGAGAAACCAGTGAGGTCTAAAAAGTCTCCCAGTGTTAATGAACCCTCTGACACTAAGCACGCCCCAAGATTGGACTACAAGGAAGCGCAGGAAGCTCACATTCTTATTAGGGAGGGCTTTCTGCTTCACACCAATGGGCTTCAGCGAGAAGTGTTGCAATCATAGTTGGCCTTAAACTTAACCCTGAATTACTTAAACACGGCCCAATGAAAATATCAATATGTTCTCTAAAAGAACATATACCCTGAAATATTTTACACTCCTACTTTATCATACTGTACATATATTTTTTCACAATACAATTGGAACAGAATACAGACCCTTTACTAAAACTTAGCAAAGCTAAAAAGTAAAGTTTGGTCACTTCTTTTACCATCAGCATCATCCATTAATAAATCAGCCTATTAACGCTGCCATATGATGAGAGATGGGCGACATATTGGCCAGATCACAGTGCTAACACACCCAACCAAACCCCACTAACTGCATGTCTTTTACACTGTAGGAGGAAACTGGAGTACTCACGTATAGAACATGCAAACTCCACACAGACCACACACCCCAGCCAAATGATGGATTCAAACTTATTTGAACCCTGCTGTGAGGCAGATTGAACCACTGTTCCACTGTGCAGCCCCCAACAGCAGACTGCGATCCAAAAGACTGACTAGATATTTGACTGGGTGAGATTTTAACTTTTTAACCCCCAAAAAATGTTCAGGAGGATTGAGTCACATAGAAAGACTACATCGTTCTACACAATCTAAACCATATTAGAAGAACACCGAAACATAGATATATTCTCAAATACAACGCACAGGGAACAGCACTCCCCAATGTCTACTTAGTCTTTATTAAAATTTATTTAAAGTATCACATTTAACATGTTAACATGCATCAGGGCAGCAATGAACCCCAAAGGCATGATATTAGGGATTTTAGACACATGCTAAACAAGCCTGGAGTCCTTCCAACCTTCCAAATCAAACTTTTTATAGTTCTGTTATAGCATTCCCATTTTCCTAAAGTCTAAGGCTATCATTAGGTTGATCCAACCATAACCCTAAACACGTCACAACCTACTCTACATCTTGACCTTGACAAAAACAAAGTGTGAAAACCCTGAGCTCATTTTCATTAAGGTTCACACAGCTGCCCTTCATCAATACTTGTGCTGCCCTCAGTCAGCTGAAACACCAGATTAAAAGAAGACAACAGTTAACTAGTATAATTGTCTATAAGTGATTGCATGTTATTTTCACATACTTCAAATACAAGTGCATTGTGCTACACAACCAGTTTAGCAACCACGGTGTGTTGAAGTGATTGTACTATTAACCACTTTAACAAAACGTAAAGCTGTAACCTTCATCTCTTTTAACAATGACACACAGCGGGTGGTGAGTATATGAACAGGGAAAAAAGCAATACAATCATATATATTAAATTCAGATATCAAATCCCTCCCAGCTTGAATGGGCATGATGTGTCAGATTTTACTGACTACTGTACAGGCATTGCAATTCAAAGGGTGTTGAAAACTTCCCCGTGGGACATGCTTGTGTTTCTACGCTCGGAGCTCCTCATCTCTTCATCTCCTCTGTGGTGCATTTAAGCGATTGGAACATCCAGCGATTTCCAGGTCACAATCAGAGGATGTAGGAAGGAGGACTGGAGGAGGAATAAATTAGCCAAATGGAAGGCGCGCCTGCATGTTAATTTTACTTGACATGGAGTTAAATCATTGGCTGTCTGGAGGGACTGAAATTGGATAAGAACTGACAGTGTTTGGCAAGTTGGGGAAAATGGTCAGCCGACATCTCCAGACCGAAAACCTTCACTTCACTTCATCTCGAATGCATTTTGTATTCAATTTCTTTGAATCTGTGAATTAAGCTCTCTTTTCAGGAGTGTTTATCCCTCCCCTTGCTACCAGCTGCATCTATTTTTATTCACATTTCTGTTTTCTGGCCTTTCAACATCTTGACATTTTTTTCTTTTCATAATGCATTAACTCTGAGGATACCTTAGGAGACCTGCCTGGCACCCGACAGCACCTCTTAATTCACAGTGTGCCTTGACACAAACACAAAAGGGGCTGCAGGGTTTTTAATTGGCCTCTGCCCAAATTACACAGATTTATCCTTCTCTCACATTAGCCGAGATGACCAGCCTGAAAAATCACGTTGCTCAGGCGTTTCTCTGAGGCTTTCTCTCACCACGCACTTGTCTCCGAAATTGGGCTGAAACAGCAACTTTGACGGTTAATTAGCCTCGTTAAAGAAACCTCCGAGGCCAAATCTGGAAATAAACATTCTTTGTTAGAGAGCGTCGGGATGCTTTCAGCACAGAGCAGACCACTGGATGCAAACAAGGAGCTTTGTTTGGAACATTATCAAAAGATCAAAACGTCTACATCAACAGGCTGCACCGCACCAATCTGTTTTACTTTGTACGGAGCTGGATTCAACAGTAATTAGATCATGACTCACCACTGACCATTCTCAATAACAATAACATGACTGCAAATAAGTTACCGCAAACAAGTTTAGTCCAACCATCATCCAGTTTTATCTCAAACAAGTCAGCTCTCAGGAATCTCTGATTCTACTATTAGAGTTGAGATGAAAAGATGTTACCACTAATATCAACTCCCTTACATGCATTGTGGCTACAAGTCTTCTGTTACAAGATTTCGATTTGGGGATGCAAAAAATGATATTAATAACAATAAATAAATAAATAAAATAAACTTCTTGATTAAATGGGTAAGTTAGATCTCCTCAAAATATACCACCTGTTCATAAACAGCTCCACTGGCTTCCAGTTCAGCTCCGTGTCAATTTCAAGATTCTGCTTCTCACTTTCAAAGCGCTTTATAACCTCGCTCCCCCATATTTATCTGATCTTCTCCATACATACTCACTCCCTTGTACACTCCACTCTTCCTCACCTCCTCTTCTTTCTATTCCACCTGCTCGCCTGACTTCTATGGGACTCAGAGCTGCCCTGAGACTTTGGAATGCACTTCCACCTCGGGAACTCGGCTCCGCACTACAAACTCTCTCTCCACTTTTAAATCACGCCTTAAAACCTATTTATTCAAAATTGCACACCGTTCATCATGATTCCATTTCAGTCTATTTTTACCTTGTTTGGCTTTTATACTTTCATACTTGAAGTCACTGGTATCCAATTCAATTCTGCCAAGCTGCCTACTATCTTAAATTTCATATAAGAACAGCAAATAGAAATTCAGAATTACTCATTAAATTGGGGCATTCATGCTCCCAATGGGAGTAACTATTGTCATTTTAAAGGTTCAAAAGGCTTTGCTGCACCACCTTCTCAAGAAAATTGTAAATCTCCAAGTTTAATTCATGCCTGAAAGAAAAAGTACCCAATTTAAAACTGGCCAGGAATAGTGTTGCTGAGATTTCATGGAACCGGAGACTTCAGCTGCAGTAATGAGATGCAATACCAGTACTCATCTCTATTTTTTGTAACTTAGTAGACAAAAACAGCCGTAACCAACAGCAACCAATGCACAGCCAATATAGCTAATAATCTACCAGCATTGTCCTTTTCATAAAGTTGAGTTTATTTAACTATTATTTGACTATAGTATGTCTAGTGTTTAAGAATTGTTGAGTCTGGACTACGATGTAGAGGGCTTCACAGCCAAAACCTGATCCAGTAACAAAGATGTAAATTTGTTCCATTAAGCTTAATTGTGTCAATCAGGGTCTTATTGTTACTGGTGTGAGTCTCAGGTTTGGGGTTCAGTCATACCTGAATGGATTCAAACGAATTTATGATTCAATGTCTGTGTTTTGAGGTAAGAGGTACGTTGAAGTAATGTCCATCATATTAATTGTTAATGCCATGAAAAGGTTGCCACAGTTGAAGGTGTCACATTTCAACTTCTTTCAGAGCACTGAAAATCTAGAGTTGTGTAAGAAGCATTAAATGTCTCAAATGCAGTGCAGTGCAGAGAAAGGTTTAATTTTATAATCTGCTGTACATTAGAAAAGGTTGTGAATAGGATAGCTATAGAGGTATTTTCACTCATGAAGTCAAAAATCAGGAGAAGCAGGTTGGTACCTGATTTAAAGTTGTTTTTTTTTCACACAACACTGGAAATACTCAGGCTGGCTAAGGCGAGGATACTGCTGGGGTAGAGCGTACAGGAAAACACTCTCGCTTTTGCTTCTTTGTAAATTCAGCAGACGGTTCGCTATTCTAACACAGGCTCAGTTTAACCTAGTGTTTGGGATCTGGCAGGCTAAAAATCCAAAGTTGGACTTTTTTATTCTCACATTCAGCTCTGTCAAGTGAGCTGAGGAAAAGCTCTGGGCTGTAATGATCAGTAAAAGCAGCTTATATTTGGAGTTTGGGTTCTTTGATAAGTCTAATTGATTGCATTTTGGAACAGGTCTGATTATTTCGGGTGGGTCTGTGCCTAAGTAGATTTTGAACCAAAAACCTAAAAGAACCTAACAACCTAAAATTTTGGACAACCCCAAGCATGTTGGTCATTCAGTTTGTAAAAAGTGACATTACCTAGGAGTCCTTGGGCTCTAGACTGCTACATGCTTGAATTTAAATTATCACTATCCTCACTGTGAGCAAAAATAAAGCGCCAACATACCTCTAAGCGATCAGCGTGCAGCACAATAAAACGGGTGGCATTGATGCACTCCAGCTCAATGCTGACTTCTCCAGAGAAGGTGAAGTTATCCATGTAGACGGCAAGCCGCAGGTCGTAGTGCCGAGGCCTCACCGAGCCTGGTAATCGTGAGTTTCTCCATGGCTGGACCACCTCTTCGTCCCCTTTCTCCCCCGTCCTTTCCCCTCTGCCTCCATTCAACTTTGCAGACCCACCGGGGCCTCGGGAACTCGGCTCTCCAGTTGTTTCATCGCGATCTTGTGCACCACAGTCCTTAAATTTGATGTTGAGCACAACGGCTACTGCTGTTACGATAATGAGGGTGAGTATGGAGAGGGCAAAGCCCAGCACCAGTCGCTTGTGCACCGTTATGTGGCGCTCAGTGGTTCGAGGCCGGACCACCACTGATTCTGCCCACTGATCCGAGAGGCCACGGCCGTTCCGCATGGCTCCCGGGCTGCTGTCGTTTAGTCCCATTTATCTTAAAATTTCACTAGAACAGCAAAGAAATAATCTCAAAGTTCAGCAGCAGAAACAGATTCTGATTCAAAAAAATATTCATTTATGCACAGGTCAGATTCCAGCTTGTTTACAGTAAACTTGATGTGATTGAATGTGTTTTAATCGTCCAAAAGATTCCAGTCTTGATTCAGCCTGTCAGCCTATCAGTCTGTGCTGATAAAACTCCAGCAGGTATATATCTGAAAAACTGAACTCTGACCTTGCTGCTGATGGACTGTTATGAACGTCCTTGAGTTCTGCCTAGATGTGAAAAATCAGCACTGCTGCACGTCTTACATTTCAGGCAACCAAACTGAAAAAACAGAAAAAATGAGATGGTCATGTGCGCTTTGGTTTTGTGGTGAACAGAAACAAAAAAATCAATGCTGCATGGCTCGATTTCAAGAGCAGTGAAGCCTGAGAAGGAGAAGGAGGAGAGGGACGGAGCGGAGGAGGTATGCCGTTGAGGATGTGGCTATACAGTGAGCGTATCATCCATAGACTGGAAATCAGCTGGGTAAGCTAAACACTTAACCACCACAAGGTATAAAACTGTGAATAAAGCCTTATGCTGTAAAAGCAACCTTATCTGGATTTCCTCTCAGATTGTAAATTCAAGTCAGTTATGGATGATGGAAATCATCAGTTTGAACTTTAAAAAGGGTCACGTTACCAAGTCAAAGACCTTCAACCAAAGTCTGAACGAACACAAGGGGGTTAAAGCGGCAGGTAGTTTTCCCAAGGTACGAGTAAAGTTAATTTGCTCTGAGTTAAAGCTCTTACACATCCGCAATAAACCATAAATAAATCCCTTTCGGACTATTATGGGATTGTCATAATGTTACAGTCGAAGATTATAATAACTTACAAGACATTAAGATGTGTTACAAGTCTCTTGAAGATTATTATGATTGCATTTCAGGTTTGGAATCAAATGAAGACTTAATCAAATCAAAGTCACACCAGCATATGTTCAGATCTTATTTTGAGTAAAATAAAGTTTTGAATTCGGATCTTTGTCAAGAAATTCAGTTTTTTGTCTTTGTTTTTTTTTTTTTTATTACAATCTCGAGATTAATTTGTAATAACTCAGTTTTCTTAGGGCTTTGTCCCAAAGCAGAATACTTCAGTAATCTTGTTTTTAAAGTACAGTTTTGTAGTGACTTCTCTGTCACACAAACTTAAAGTTGCTGTCAAAAATTGAGGAAGTGCCTCCGTTTGACCCCTTTTCTCTGATGGATTTCAAATTAAAAGTAGCTTTGCTGCTGATAAAGGTGTAGTTTAAAAACGGTAATAACTCTCTCGCTGCGGTCTGTGTCTATAGCGCTTTCTCTCTCTCTCCTTTTCCTCTCCTGAGGGGGGTTAAGTGGATAATTTACGGCCAGCATGTGGGTTTATTTCACCGTGGAGGAGATAATTCACTCGGCTACTCCACGAGGTCTAAACGATCCCAGCTTTCCAGCTCATGAGCCTGACGGGTAAAGCTGGATTAAAACTGATTGATAACCCAGGATTGTATTGATTACATGGATACCGCTCGGTGGGGACAGAAATCCACAGAAAGAGCTGAAAACCCCCTTTTTAAAATCCACCATCAATCAATCAGTTCCTTCAGTGAAATCACTCAGATATTGATCATGAAGGCTGTCCAAACATTACAGGTTCATCGGTAAATATTATAAGAAGAAAAACTCCTCTGGTTCTCCGGTAACTTCTCTCGCCCCCGCTAGGAAGCGATGATCTCCGTTTCCGTTTTAAACAGCAGTCGGTCCCCGGGGTGGAAAGGTACCTCTCCGGGGGTGATCCGCTATTAGTCAGACTCACTTCAGTCTCGAGAAGGACCGCGCTTTCTCTGCTACACGTCCCGTTTTCCTCGGTAACCCAGATGTGAACACCTGCTTTATACCTGCGGGCTGTTTCTGCTCCCGGGGAGGGGGCTGAGGTTACCGTCGGTCAATAAACTAACCCTCAAGTCCACCCGGGACGGTCCCGGGATTCGTTACACTACCGTTAGAAATCCATTAAGTGCGTGTGGTGTGGAAGAAATCCATCAGGGACATGACGGGAGTTCACAGATAAACGCCAGGAAGCTGTTATTGATCCGGTGGCACATGTGGGGATCCCGTTAAACCGCCAGAGACCAGATCCAGCTCACACCGATGGGATTAAACACCGACCTGTTAATAATAACACTAATAATAATAACGGGCCGATCGTTTAAAGAAGAAAAAAAATGGACTAAAAAAACAAACACACCGGAGGTCAGAGTCAGCACCGGGGATGGTCAACGGAACGATCCTGGAAAGCACCGTTAACAAATCCCACTCAGCACCAGGTCCTGCACACTCCAAAGTAGGATCGGACCGTGCCGGGTGGATTATCCCGCGTTAACGCCGGGCACGAGCCCCTCCGGTGCTCCTTTAATAAACCCTATCTTCCTCAACTTTTTCAGCCCACGGAGAACCGCTGCTCCTCTCTCTCTCTCCCGCAAATGAGGATGACGGTGATGATGATGGTGGTGGCGGCGGTGATGAAGCCTTCCTGTTTAGCATCCCTCCGTGCACTGAAGAAAGTGACGCTTGGTGATGGAGGTGAGGAAGAGTCTCGTGCCGCCCGTTCAGCAGTGAGTACGTTTGCGGTGTGCGTTTCCACTTGAGCACGAGCTGCTGCTCCAACCGAGAGGCACGCGCTGACCGAGGGAGAGAGAGAGAGAGAGACCGAGATGGAGGGAGGTGGGTGGGGGTCTCAGCGTGTGAAAGCTACACCTCCCCAGCGCTGTTCAAATCTATTCCGCTGTTTTCTCCTCTGCTAGCTCTGGATGACGAGAAATCAGACAGAAGAAAAATGAAGATGAAGCAAAGTAAAGGTTCTCTGTGTGTCTCTCTTTGGTTTTACACGCATGCAGATTTATCTGGCTGTGAAGTAACTGAGCAGTGGGCACCGGGGCCTTTCCTGTGCAGATTTCTCCCTAAATGAATGTGTCTGCTGAGATTAGTTTTTCATTAGTCTCTTTACTTCCACTTGCTCTTATCTGCACTTCTGCATTTCAGTTATTCCACTTTTAATGCCTGAAACTACATGTACACATAAGCTCTTTATAGCACAGTGGAAAAGAATTTCCAGACTCATTCTTCAGAGAAGACAAAGCGCACATACACAGACACAGACACACACATGTTCAAAAATCAAACTTTTTCCATCTCTAACTGAGGGATTCAATGTGAAGCTGTAGACTCTGCAGCTCAACAGCTGGGCCAGATGTGGTACCGAAGAATCCCAGCACACAGGGCTGAAATAACGTTGTTGCTCCAATAAAGCTACATGTTCTTGGTTGTGTGTTGTGTGCAGTGAAGGTCCAGGCCAAAATTCAGATTATATTATAAAGAAAGCAAACACACGTCTTTGTTTTTTATTGGAACACCTGATGGTCGTGCTAAGTCAGCTGTGCAAATGTCTACTCCACGCACACAGACTAGTATCCCCAGATGCCCTTTTTAAAAATATATATATCAACAAGAGATTTATGACATTTTCAGGCATCTACATGCACAGGTAGTTTCATTTGTTGGTTTGGTGTATTTATTTAGATTAGGTGTCCCTCTGACCCTTTGCTCACTGTTGATCAGGCTTCAGAGTTTGAGGTCTACATGGTAGTGTGAGACGCCCTCATTTCAAGGGTTTCTTCTTCTTCTCACAAGCAGGAAGTGTTATTGTTTTGTGTGTTCAATTGACAGAAGAATAAAACTTGGCACCAAAAGGAAGGAAATATGTTTTTGGTTGATTATTTTTTCTAAGCAATACATCTTATTGCATAGCCTGTTTAATTCCCCTTAAATGGTGCAACATTTCTAAGGAGAAATTTGTGAGTTGAAAAACTTGCCAAATCTTCTCTGTCAATTTTCAAAGAGCTTATTCTGTGACCAACAGAAAAGCTGATTGAAGAATGGAATGCCGTCCCACAGCAGTGTGTGACCAAGCTGGTGACCAGCTTGAGGAGGAGACTCAAGCTGGCAGAATAAAAAAATAGTTGACCAAACAGAAATTTTCTCACTTTTTGTGCTGATTTTTCAGAACAACTCTTTTTTTTTAATTGCATAGTGGTGAGAGAAGGGTGGAGGGCATGCAACAAAGGGCCATAGTAGGTCATACTCAAACATGGCCGCTGTGGCCATGCAGTATTTGGTCACCTGCTCACCCACTGAGCTAAACTGGCACTTGTGGAACAAATCTTACTGTGCTAGAATGTCTCCTTGTGGAGCTAATGATGTGGCTAATTTAATCACAACGTGTGGCATGTGTGCTTTCATGCACTGAGTTATGATATAAAAGAGCGAACAAGTGGTCAGCCCCATTGGCCAACCAGCAGGGTAACCGTTGTTAAGGGTTGGTGTTAAGGGGTTTCCCATCGTAAAAATCCATCTACTTGCTCGCCTGGAAATTGAGAAAAGCTCACATTGGCAGTGATTATGTTGCCTGTATTTGCTTGAAGTTGCAAAATTTTAATCCCCCTTTGTGGTCGCTGGTTGCCATGTTGTTGTGAAAAGCTTCCAGTGTGTATACACCTCAATCCTATCTAGTGGCATTAGCAGCATTATTCAGCCTGATTGACATGAGAATATGTAAAATGTCCAAGAAGACATCAAGACCATGTAAAATAAAGATCAACAAAATTAGCATTACAGCAAACACTCGATGTTGTATAACCATCGACAGACTGTCTTTTCCCAACACACAGTCTTGGTTGAAGAATCATTGTGCCAATAGTGTCAGCATTACCTTGAACCTTTGATAGAATAAGTCTTCCTACCTCTTTCTAGAGGTAACTGTGGCTGCTCGTCATTACACCTACATTCTTCCTGTTGTGCCACTTCTGGAGACTCACCTAGAGTGTTTTACCTCAGAGCAGTATAGAATTCTGGAAACTGGCTTGAGAGTTGATCTAGTCAAAGAATTGGACTTTAGAGGTTTTGAAGAAACTGGCCTGACAACTTGTGAATGTGCCTGTGGGACAGAACCAGCCTGAGGCTATTTCTTAAAAGACTGAAGACTGGCCCGTGAGAAAAGAGAAATGTGGGTTATTAACCAGTGCAGTACTCTTATCTACTGTCCTTGTATTTTTTTTAATTATTTGCCTGTTAACCATTTCCTGTGTATCTGCCTTTTGAGTCTTTTTGGAAAGCAAATCATAGCAAACTATCAGAGAAAGATAAAAACATGAGGAGTGACTGCAGAAGTCTATTCTTCGGTAAGAACACCTAGCCACACCTAGTCCTGGTGGACGAGAGGGTTTGTTCCCTGCGCCTTAGGGTCGGGGAACGGGTCCTGACTGTCATCTGCGCTTATGCGCCGAGTGGCAGTTCGGAGTACCCAGCCTTCTTAGAGTCCCTGGGG